GACAGGTTTAAGTGGTCGTGGTCCAAGAAATTCTCCTAACCGACCAAAGGGTTGAGGTTACAATGAAAATGACAAATCTCAATCAAAATAGTTACTAAATGTATGCAAATTCTGAGATCTTAAACTATAAAGTAAGGCTTCAAATATGCAAACTTCAAAAAAATTAGCTTGAGAAGCACGCTCACCATAGCTCAAGTCTGAAGTTTGAATGTGCATATAATATTGGGCTAAACAAGCCTAGATATGGCTTTGTCGTTGGTAGTTCCGCTTACTCAAGAAGCTATAAGAAAGACCATAATACGAGAACCCTTTTTCAGCAGTCGGATGACAGGAGCTATCAAATCCTAGCTTACCCAATCTGATAAGTTCAAGTAACCCAGATTTGGGTCTTCTTTATTAGTTAAGGGTCAGAGTTTTATCTACATTTGATATTACCAGCTAAACCAAAACCTACAAATCCATGGAGCATAAAACAAGGATCAAAGGAATTCTTCTTTAACAAGTCCATCAAAGCGCGATACAAATGACCGAAGAGATTATCTGATTACAAAACTCAATCATTAATGGGCTTCAATTTCAATGAAAGTTCAAAACTCAAAATCACAAAAATTTAGATATTTAAGATGAAATAAATCACCCAAACAATTAAGGCAAAAATCCATCAGTCATTCGCAATAGTTTGTCGGAGTGTATAAATTTGAAAATCATTTCAGCTCACAAAAAGTGAATATTTAGTCCAGAATATCACTAATATTCATTCTCAAATAATCACTTGCTAGTAAGGACATGATAAGTCTCCTTTAATCGGTGATTTCGCCGCCAAATGAGAACATAGATAAACGGTTATGACATGGGCCCTATGACCAGGTGGTTTTACTACCAAATAGTACAACTAAATTACGATCATGGACAAAGCCCGTATGTTCTCAATGATTCTAAATTTTGAAGCAATGAATCGATAAAATATAATTGATAGGGCACAAAAACCTTTGTTAGTTAAGGTGGGCTCAAATTTGTCCCCTAAGGTAAACATTCATCCCCCAAGTTTACAAGGTATCCTTGGACAATGCAAGCCATGACTGCTGACAAGAATTCTTCAGTTAGGTTGGGTCGACTATCTCCTCTGACTAATAGATTAGGACCATGATGACTTGGGATGAAGAAACCATGAGATCTTGATCGGTTTATCATTATTCCCCTCATCATCCGCTTTAAGTGTGCAATAATAAATTTTCAATTTTTAATATCTAATTTTGATGCTAATATATGCTAGATACTACGTATCTATTCAAAGTCTAGTCTTAGTTAAATGTTTTCTCGTTATTGAGAAGGGTAATTAACCGTGGGAGCTTGCGCTTATAGGAAATTAGAAGTTAGATCATAAAATCCTCGTAAAATGAGGGCTAAATCTCTGGGTAGTGACATATCTAAAACCCAATATGCATTCTGAAAATTTACCTTGGAACCTAAACTCGTTAAAACTCTCATCGCCAACACAAAAAAGAAAGGATCGTGGAGAGGCCGGGGTGCAAATTTTCGGAGCCCACACTTTGATACCTTAAAGGAGCCTCCTAATCCCCAACTTTGGTTGTTCCTCCCATTTTCATGTTCACTTCATCAATCTATTTACACTTTTGTCACTTGGATCATCAATTCTTGAAAAAACCAATACTAGTACATGCTGCTCCGTCAAACTCTTTTGACAATCTATGGCTTATGTTCTTATTGAAATATATGTTTTTTCTCCTTTGGTGAGGGAGATATGGATTGATACTTCAATAGGTGGAGGCCAGGCCAAAGAAAGACCCTTTTGAAAGATGTGCTCGAAGGTAGTGTGCCTTGAAAGATGTTGAGTCTCCGGGATAGAGAGAGTGCAAAGAGTTAAATGAGAAGAGGGAGGGATCCCTTTGAAAGAAATCTGGCTCACATTTTTCTTCTCTTCTCTTTTGATTTATTATGTTTTTCTTTGGGCTCTTTATATTTTCTTTCATTCTCATAGCACAACTGTAACACCCAAAAATACCCCATTAATAGTACATGGAGTATTACCAACATAAACATCTCATCGTTTGATCAAATAATACTTTTGAACATTTAAAAAATCTTTATAAAACATTCAATAGTCCTCATTCATCCCTTCAAACAGAAGTAACTAATAACTTTAATTTTAACATGAGATACTTATAAAGTCACTACTAAAGAAAATCTAAAGTAATATATCACTAGTTACATACCTCAAGTTTAGACTTCTCAAACATAGATAAATACTAATATAATATAACATGTGGAATACTTGACAATTTAATCTGCTATGATCTTCTCCTTGTTCTTTCTTGTAACAACAGCCAGTAAGAAAACACTGGTGAGTTATGAGACTCAGTAAGCTTTGCAAATTAATTAATATTTAAAATATAATCATTGGAAATAATCAGGAATTAAAATCATTATAAATTCATAATTAATTTTAATCTTTACTTCTTCTGAATTCTACAATGAATATCAATTTTATCTATAAAAGATTTGGCTACATTTCATAACTTTATTCAATGGAGCCCAGGTAAACCTGGCATTATCGCATTGAATTACATAGAGGTCCCTTTTGCCTCTTTAGGGGTCCCTTTTGCCCCACCTGCTATGCAGGTATCATATTCTTTGGGGTCCCTTTTGCCCCTCCTGTAATACAAGTATATTATATGGGGTCCCTTTTGCCTTTGGGGTCCCTTTTGCCCCACCTGTGATTACAGTTATACATCATTTGTAGCCAAACTTTACTTTTCAATTGATATTCACAAAGCTTTCAGTGTTCATAAGTTATACTTAAGTTGTTGCATTCTTTCATAATCATTGCTGTAATCACCGGTATACAATTAAAATGCACACCATATGCAAGTAAATTGACATCTTTTCAAAATAGTATCAAATAGGAAAATATTTAAATTAACATACTAAACATTGTTTTACCCTTACCTGATGTCATTATGTATCTGGTTGTTCATACCTGAAAACTTGAATTAAAAATTCTTTCTATACATTAAACAAATATAATAACCTTTTTTTTCTTTAAATGCATTCAAAATCAACCTTCATGCCTATAAATGAAAGTTCTTATATTTGAATATAATTGCATTACTTACCTTCTTGCCGAGGTGTCTCCAGTTCTCTACTTCGAAGTCTTCTACGATTGTAAGTCACTTGAAGCTTTCTCTTTGCATAAGATCAGACTTTCTTCCAATCTTTTAAATTTCCTCTTTAAATCTTTCTTCACTGATTCTTCTTTTAATTTGTACACTTTCATCAAAGTACATGTGTATTTCGAAGAATTTTCTTTACACACCCTTCACTGCATAGTAGCTTGAATTGCAATTGCCTTCACTGAATTCTCCTCCAGCCAACAGTGCCGAAATCTTCATCTACAGCACTATGCCGAATCACACAGCCATCCACTGTGCCGCTACTTTCTTCTGATAGCTTGCGTGAAATCAAACCAAATAAAGAAAATAAATTCCCTCACATAGCACAATTCTCATAGAAAATTTTGTTCTGATTTCTTCTATCTTGTTATAGCTTTCTCAGGATTTCCTTCCCAGAACTGTGCCGCCCTCTACAGCAACTGAATTCCTCGTGCATAAGCCGAACTATCCTGAGTGGAATTCTCTTTTACGTGAAATAAGAAATGATAGGAATAGAGGCCCACACGCTATAACTGCCACCCTATGCAGCCATTGAATGCAACTATTCAGAATTTTTTATTTTTATTTTCTGTATATCTTCTCTTATATCCAGTTATTATTTGCAAAATTCTAAACAGAGGAAATATGTGAAAGAGGGCCCACACATTCCCCTAACTGATTTCATTCTAACGTTCCCATACGGTGCAAGCAACAATTCAGAGCAAATATTATACATAAAGTTAATTTAATATGTTATTAATCAATAACTAACTGTTAATAACAACTTAAAATTTCTTAATAAAAATTTATATTTATTTACCTAGATTTTGGATATTACAACAACTTTCTTCTCTTGTACGCCTAGTTAATGTCTGGTGGAATTGTGGAAGGGATGTGGGCATGCGCAAGCAGCAAAAGTTACATCTTTAATGGAAGTACAAAAATGGATGGAAATTTGCACAGTTTATGCAGATGTTTGAATTCTCACATGGGTTCGGGCTAGACCTATGAATATTCCCTTATAGGTGCTACATAGATCGGTGTGTGTTTGTACATGCCTAAGTGTTGGTCAATGTGGTTGATCTTGACCTTTGAGGCTCACTATACAAACTAAGCTTAGGGTCGTGACTTGCATTGTATTTGTTTTTAAACTTTTTTAAATTATTTAAAAAAATAATAAATCATAAATTGATTAAATGTCACAAATTAATTATAAAAATGAGCTAATTAATTTACATAGGCCTAATTCGAAGGCCAATTCTATTTTTCTTATTTTTTAAACGATTTAAAATCGTAATCCATAAAAAAATGTAAAAAATTGCAAATGATTTAAACAATAGCTGATTTAGTAATGCCTCAACTCAAATAATCAAGCATTTGCCTTAATTGCTTAATTCATCTTGTTATCTTTTTTTTTTTTGAGCTAATTAATTTACATAGGCCTAATTCGAAGGCCAATTCTATTTTTCTTATTTTTTAAACGATTTAAAATCGTAATCCATAAAAAAATGTAAAAAATTGCAAATGATTTAAACAATAGCTGATTTAGTAATGCCTCAACTCAAATAATCAAGCATTTGCCTTAATTGCTTAATTCATCTTGTTATCTTTTTTTTTTTTTTTTTCAAATAATTTAGGATCTTTTATGCTCAGTTAAGTCCAACTAGAGGTAATTTTTAGTAGCATCTTTATTTTTTTGTCAAGCAGTTGTAGTTGGTTTATTTTTTTATTCAGCTTAGTTGCCCCCATCATGCACTTGACTAAAGTTTGTAGGAATTTGAGAATTTTTTAAATTCTCTATTTTGTCATTAATCTGTAAATCTTTTGTAGGAATTTCCCTATATACGCTACCGTGCTGCCAAGTCATCTTTAGATGCTTCTACTTTGACAACCTTTCGTGATTTAATCCCAACAAAACTTGCTGCTGCTGTCTGGCACTGTCTTGCCAGGTATAAGGCTATTATTCCTGACTTTCCACAAACAGAGACGTGTGAGTTTCTAATCATAGACCGTTCAATTGATCAGGTATGTTGGAAACGTGCTCTTTTTAACTCTCCCCATTTGTTTATGATTGGTTTTTTTTTTCCTTTACCCAAATTAATTAATATTTCACATATAATTTGTAGATTGCACCGGTTATTCATGAATGGACATATGATGCCATGTGCCATGATTTATTAAATATGGAGGGAAATAAATATGTTCAGAAGGTATTTTATTCATTGCTATTTTTTGTGCTTTTCTTTCACCTTTTTCTTCTGTTTATGAGTGAGGTTCTTATTGAAGATTAGCATGTAGGTGCCAAGTAAAACAGGTTCAACCTCTGAAAAGGAGGTCCTTTTGGAGGATCATGATCCCATTTGGCTTGAGCTTCGGCATTTACATATAGCAGATGTAAGATGATAATTTTAAGGGATGTTCTTGCTATGGTGATATCTGAACTGATAATTGACTATATGCCAGGCTAGTGAAAGGTTACATTCAAGGATGACCAACTTCATATCAAGAAATAAAGCTGCGCAAATTCATAACAATTCAAGGTAACTATAGTAGAAATAAGTTTGAAAAGTTTACCATACATCTTTATAGCGAATTTATGATGATAAAACTATAAATAAAACAAAATAGGTTATGACGCCATTAAATTAAACAACCAGGCACTTTTAGCGATATGAAGAAAATCTTTTTTCTCATATTTGCAATTGCTTATATTTCCATTAATTTGTTATTATGGACTTTTATTAGGAGATTGAGGGCACTTTGTGTTTTTTTTATAAACTTTTTTTGCTGGCATCATTCTCATCAAGAATTTGGTTTCGTGAAAAAGTTTATTTCATGGAACCTTCATTTTAATGGGAGTCCTATGGTACCATCACTTTAGCGGCAAGCTCTAATCAAGTGGGTACTAGATTTTCCATCCAACTAGCGAACCTATTAAGGTGAAAAGCTTCAGCTAGAACTTGGCTCTATGATATGTGAAGGAGATTAACTAGGCTTTTCATTTCTTTTCCTTACACGATGAAACACTAATCAAATACTTCCGCAAGCCCATTTTTTCCATAGAAAAGAATATTAAAACCTGGGTTAGAAAATGAAGTTTAATCTTAGGCCAGTCTGTTAATGTAGCTTAATCTTAGGCCAGTATGTTAACCCTCTACCAAATGATACCGTTTAGTTTGTTGAGATTTATACTTTTGCTACTATTAAAGTGCGGATTCTAATTTCATCCATATATTATTATTAACTTTAAATTTAAATTAAGGATCAAAATCAGTAATTTAAATTAAAATTAGTGCCATGGCATAAGCTTAGCTTTATGAAGTCCGGATTTAGGGAAAAATTTAATTTACACTTGCACATACCTTTGGATTCAAATCTCGATTTTACCTTACCATGTATTCATTTGATCTATACTCCAGTTATCCGTTAAAATCCCAATGCACCACTTAGTTTCCTCCATGAAGGTAGCCTACGGTTCAATAAAATTGATATATATATATATATATATATATATATCCTGATTTAGCTTATCATGAATGAAAGTTAATCTATCCGTAATAAATAGAGATTTCCTTATCATGATTCCAATCAAAGAAATATTTTGATTTATCTTAAATTATACCCATTTTTCTTGCATTAATATATTTTAAAGTATCTTCATCTTGTGTGATCTATAACCTTTTCATCATAAATTGGATTTTTTTTATATACATGCAACAATCCCCTTTTTTAATCCTAATTTCTGTCTTGTATATACACATCATTTTTTTGTTTATTAACACCATCGATGCAAGGTCCAAAGTCCTGGATGAGAAAAGTGAAAGATTGTGTTAGCTAGTCGACAACTAGCATAAAACTTATCGAATAATAATGATATGATTCTTTTAATACATTGTGTTAATACTAGGGCATTTCCTTGAATTGACGTGCTGTATGACCTGGATACAACTAGAAGTGTGGAAGGGCCATTACAGTGGCGCCCGAGTGTAGTGTTAAATAGGCAAGGATTCCACATCATGTACGGATGTGGAAAAAAAAGCTTGACCATGATACTAAAATTAGGATTTGAACTTAGAATATAGGTTCTTTTACAAGCAAATTAATGGAATTAATAGATATTATGATTCATACAACAACAACAACAACATCATCAAGCCTTTATCCCACTACGTGGGGTCGGCTACATGAATCCAATAGATATTATGATTCATATGAAGATAAATATTTTATGCATTCAAGAAACTCAATAAGTTGGAGAGAAGACTAAGGGGATTGATAGTTTAGGATTTAATTAAAGTGAAGTTCATTAAGGATAAAGATTAAAAAATACTTTTATTAAAAGAGAATATTTAACAAAGATGGATGAGATATTTTGCTAAACTTTTCAATGAACATTATGAGAATACTATAGATTTTATAATTATGATTATAAGTGTTAAGACGCTGGGACTTGAATTGTTATTTAGTAGCCCGGGGGACTAAAGATCATCGAGAACAGTAGGCGCTGTCCGCATGTGAAAAAAACTTTTCAAGAGCATCCTTGGAACTTTCCTTAATTAGAAGTTATCTGTGTTATCTTTCAGGAAAAACTAAAGCACAAGTTATTTCAAATACTTTGAAAGATCAAGATTATAATTGTTCATGAACGACTTGCGCTTATCAACTGTAAACGGAGAATATAAAGCAGCACTAAAGGCTACTGATAATATTGAACCACCTTCTGTTGGATTTGTAAATCCTTCGGAAGCAAGGCAACACAGTGCATCTGCTTTTGGTGCAATGATTAAGCAAAATAATACGGTTATTCAGCTGCTTCTCACCATAACTGAAAGAGTTAAAGATCTTGAAGGACCTTCAAGGTCCAAAAGCTACAACAGAAGCCATCAGTACCTTCTGAAACTTTTGAATCTTCTCTTTCTGCCATTCAAAATCAGCTCGAAAACTTATCCATTGGTGAACCTGTAAGCTCCTCTAAAATCACCAAACCTAAAGGGCCTCTCTTTTTCTTTAAAGATCCCAAGAAGATTTTTCAGTCTGAAAAATCAAAAGCTTCTTTATTGGCTTTCACTAGCAGAACGACCACTGCTACCCTACTACCCACCAACTCTTCCCACTACTTTGAACCCTCTACTAGTCACTCCGTGGATGATCAGATTCGCAGATATAGGCTCAGATCTCGAATTGCACATGAGATCCAACGAAGGCTTCCTCGACAGCATTCTTTGCATCGCATCCTTGAAAGCCAATTAGATCCTGAAGCCGAGCTTCAGATCTCCCAGAGAAAAAGAGCCAACCTGGTCCCTGCTGAAACCTTATATGAAGACGAATGGTCTCGACATCGCGTATATCAGCACTATTCGAAAGAACGTATTTTGGCAATTGAAGGTTTTCAAGTAAATCTTTCGTTCATCCGATAGCAATTCTACCAACGGCTCATCAATGAAGGCATGCAGTACATCCATCTCGGACTTATCATGGTCCGCATTCAAGCCTTGCATCGACGTGATGCTGGTACCACTGCTCTCATCGTTTTTAGAGATACTAGATGGCGATCTGACGTCTCCATCATCGGCACTTTGGAGATCGACCTCTCCTCTGGTATGCAACTTGTTTACATAGATCTCAATATCATGTTATCAATTCATGACTTTCTTAACCATATTGAACTTGTGGTGCTCACACATGGTTATGAGCTATGGCAAGGCGGTGAGTCTAATTTACTCCTCACTGGAGCTCTAGTTGCCCGTTTAATGAATACCAGTCATATTGGCTTTCGTTATAATATTGTCGGAGTCGCTGATTACTTGGCCTCTCATGGGATTTCCGCCATCCCTGGCCTACGACATACCATAGTTTATCTACAAGGGTGAACCTGGCATCTTTGCCCCTCTGATCTACAGACCGTCCAATTTCCTCGTTCCCTTATTACCTACCAACGCCTCGAAGGTTCTCTTCGTCTCTCCTTCTCGGCCTATACCCCTTCTCAACCTCCACCTGAACCATCCGTATCTGATGATGAACTCACTGAACATCTTTATAAGGCCTACTCACAGACGATGCCCCTATTTGGGATGTCTCTGATCCCTCCCCCACCGATAACGATGATGATGATGATTCTTTTTCTTTATTTCTCTACCTTACTTCCTCTCATCAAACTAATTCAGTTTGCCCGGAAGCTGGTGGGGAAATGCCTTGTCCTACCCAATGGGATAACCCCAAACCCAATAGCCACCATGAATGCTTTTAAAATCATCTACCTCTATTAATATGTTCATTTAAATCTCCTCCAATAAAAACTTTCTTTAAGATGTATCTTTTGTATTAATTCTTTTAAGTCATTCTAAAAAATTAATTTAGAACTCATATCCAAACCAACTTGAGGAGCATAAACACTTATAATATTAACAATCTTAACATCAACATTAATCTTGAAATCTATAGTTTTATTTCCAATCCTATTAATTTTTATAACATTATCCTTCAAACTCTTATCTATAATAACATCTATACCATTTTTAGTACGGCTCCTACTCGAATACCAAAGTTTAAATCCTAAATTATCAATTTCCTAGCCTTTTGTCCAACCCATTTAGTTTTTTGAATGCACAAAATATTTAACTTCCTATGAATCATAATATCTATTAATTTTATTAATTTTCTTATAAGGAAACCTATATTCCAAGTTCCTATCCTAATTTTAGTTTCATGTTTTTTAGTTTTATGGACTAGCTTCTTTGCCCACATCCATCCTTGATGTAGGAACCCTTGCCTATTTAACACTGCACCAGGGCGCCGGTGCAGCTGCCCTTGCACAGTTATCACTGTATTCAGGCTATACAGCACGTCACTTACAGGGGACGCTCTAACATTAACATAATTTTTTAAAGGATTCATGTCATTATTATTCGATAAGTTTTACGCCGACTGTCGACTACCTAACGCAACCCTCTAGTTTTCTCATCCAGGACTTGGAACCTGACAACGATAGTGTTTCTTCACTTAAGAACTAGATAAAAAAAAGTCTATTTTCTTTGTGAGTTAGCATTATGCATACCCAACATAACTAGGCATCTTGGCTTCAAAGCTAAGTTGTAAGCCTTACTTCTCAAACAAACATAGCCTCCTTACTCTTCATGTGCATTGAGAATGAAAAACATGATTTTAAAATCGATTAAGTGGGTTTAGCTTGTAGCCCTTTCCAGGCATGACAATAAATCCAGGGGTCGGGCTGGCTATGCCTCATAAGAGGTATAGTTTGTAAATCCTTTTGCATTTCGTTAGACTTAGGTTCGAGGTACTATCTCTCGGTATTCCTTATCTTAATTTTTAGGATCCAAGGCAATTGTTGATTCCAATCACCATACAAGTCCTCACCTTCCGGACAACTCCTTCAACTATTTTTTACTAATAAAAGCACTTTGTTGTAAAGTAAAAATTAAGGATGCACAAATGAAGCATAAATAACTTATATATGTTGATCTTAGCTTCATATTGAACAAACACAAATTCATCAATCTTTTAATTTTTTTGTGGTATTTAT